GTTTTCCCATGCCTCCTTCAACCACTACATCGGAAAATAGTTTAAGAAGCACAATTACTGATAGCACGACTACCTTACGATCCGCCACTAAGGCAAAAGTTCAGAATTATAATGATTTTATTGACTCAACTTTAAGAGTGACAAATATATCGAGTAGTAATTTTAAGGGTCAACTGTATTTAGTAACATTTATTTTAGCTGTTTATTTTAAATTTATTGTTTAACAACAACAAAAATCTCTGTACAAAATTTCTTAATTATATTGCGTGGTTTTTTTTTATTTATTTGAAAATTCAAACTCAGGTTAAATATTTCTGAAATAAAGAAATTTATTAAAAAATTATTATTTATTAATGTATGTATGTAATTACTAATTAGTTTGTTTTACTTAATATATAGTCGGGCTTACCCCATCATATGATACCCGCACATATATAATGATATAAAAGTTGGGTTTAAAGAAGAATGAATGCCTTTTGGTGAGTATATAACCATTCATTCAGAAATTCAATCGACCCATGCGTCCGAATTCGAGTCGATGCCAAGGCAGCATAAATACAGAGAAGATAAGATATAGTCTCTTTTTCATCCACATTTTGATAACTTCTACAGAAGTCATTGAACGGTAGACCAATGCATCTAGCGTCGTTACTAAATTTGACACCAGACTACTAGTCTATGAAGACCAAGGAGATAGTTAGACCTGCGTGGATCCATATGGAGCCACAGGGCTCTAGCTATAGAGCAAATGTGCTCACGTGATGATTGGTCATGAGAAATATAGTGGCAGTTCTCAATAATCTGTCTCTTTATTGCAAGAAGTGGAATACCAGGTCTATTTCCAATCCGCTTAGCGTGGGTCTAACTCTTGCCCAAGTGTCAGTAATATTGTTGCCATACGTACTCCCCTTACCCAAAGGGTAATGTTCGAATGTCTCGCCATCTCGATGGGAGACGTTTGGCATTCATGAACAAGTCTAGATGTGGAAAACAAACCAATTACAGATTTATTAGCAGCTTGACTATCAGCTCCGTCGTCTTGGATCCATCTGTATACTCACGGAAGCAATTGTTAGGCGGAAGTAGGGATTCTTGGGACTACGTGGAGATATGATACTGGAATTGTCTCATTAGAGACGTTTCCGGGATACAATAATCAATAGTGTACTGGGGTCTGGGTCGAGTGGCCCATGGAACAGTTGTTTCACTTGCCATTTTAGCTCAATCTGGCTGCAGTGGAGCATTGTAAACAACGCATTTGAACGAGTTGTTCTTATGGCACCGTAATAGCTTTAGATAAGATAACGCTATTAGCGCTATCCAACAGCTTGAATACCTCGCCGTTAAGTCGATGAAGAGAAATCAGAGGGATCTTGTATTTTCCGGTTCCGTTTTGTGCTTGTTCTAACCTTTGACACAAGGCATGTACCGCTACATCGTTGGCATAGACAACTGTTTTGAAGCCAAGAGAGTTTAGTTTTACCAGAAGCCCGATGATGACCATATGTCATAAGAGCGATGATAGTACACAACCTTGTGGAGTACCTCTTATCTAGAGATTACTGTGTAACCTAAAGAGGATTTAATAATCCTATTTGATGTCCAATATAACACCGCTCCGAAGGTGTTTGGATCTTATTTTGGGCAAAATTGGTGGAGCTGTGTCCATAGTCGTATGTCAGGATACTTACTATCAAACTAAACTTGGACCTGTTTCATTATAAAGATCTACCCACCGTTAAGTTATTTCATATGGGCCAAGGGGATTTTTTTGATTTTTATTTGTTCAAATCCGCTCAACTTAATGACAAGTATATTAGTTCGATTGGCCTGATGTCCATATGATACAGTGCTTACACAGAAAAAACTGAAAATGTGTTTTAATTATCAAATTGATTGTATCAAGCAAGTTTTGCACCTATCAACAAAATGATGATATCAATTATGAAATTTGTAAAAAAATATTTTTTTCTAATTAAAGAAATAATCAAAACAATTAACACCAGTAATTAAATTCAAAATTTAAAATTAGTTAATTCATTAATTGGATAAATTAAATATTTAATAAAATAAAACTTACATTTTAATTAGTTTATTAATCAAATAAATTGAACAGTTTGGTTAAAAATGTATAAAGTCGATGATTGAAACAATCAAAGCATTAATTGAATGCTTACAACTTTAAAGGATTACAACTTAAAGGATACCTTTAACAATGCGTTAAGCACTCTCAAAAATATCTCTTTATTGTCACATTTGAACAAATAAAGTGATTTATAAATTTTAAAATATTTATGAAACTTCAACTTCTTATGCCTAAAATATTATTGACTATTTGAGAATTATTTTCCGTTATAAATAATGAAATTATTTAAATAAAATATCAAAACAAAAAACCAAAATAAGAAAGTAGGCTGGAAAAACCTTTTCAGCCAATTAAAAAATTAATTGATTCAATTAAAAGTTTAATCAAACTTGTATACTTAGGATCAAAACAATGAGATAATTATGACAATTAAAAAATTGTTTAAATAAAAGTTAAAGAAAGAGGAAAACATGTTAATTGAAAATAAACTACCGATAATTTTTTCTGTGTACGAATGGAAGAAAATTCGGTTATGACTTATAATGTTCTTAGCACCATTCAGCTATTGGAAAATAGATTTACATCCGCGTGCCTTTAATCTAGTGTTGTGATCGATTTCTTAATTTTTATTGAAGTTTCCCATGCTCGTTCTAACTTCTAGCTTAGAGCCATCCATGTAGTAGTAGATTTCCTCTAATGATTTCGACTACGACTCTATCTGAGATCAATGTTTTGTAGCTTCCGACAATTTCTGTCTTTGGTATTCGATAGGGTACGTCAGATGTTTGTGTGTAACAATCAAATATGTGTGATATATATCCACTTTTGCTTATTATATAGATTAGTGTCATAGTAAGAATTTGACCCCATTTTTGGAAAATGTTCTGTAAAGTTTTGTACTTTAATTAGTTCTAGTCCGTAACCAGACCCATACCAGATTCTTTAATAAAAATGCCATAAGAGCGATGATAGTACACAACCTTGTGGAGTACCTCTTATCTAGAGATTACTGTGTAACCTAAAGGGGGTTTAATGATCCTATTTGATGTGCAATATAACACCGCTCCGCTGGATCTTATTTTGGACAAAATTAGTGAAGCTATGTCCATAGTCGTATGTCAGGATACGTACTATCAAACTAAACGTGGACCTGTTTCATTATAAAGATCTACCCGCCTTTCCGTTATTTCATATGGACCAAGGGGATTTTCTTGACTTTTACTTGTTCAAATCCGCTCAACTTAATGACAAGTATATTAGTTCGATTGGCCTGATGTCCATATGAAACAGTACTTACCAATGGATGAAAATTCGGTTATGACTTATAATGACTTATTGGAAAATAGATTTACATCTGCCTGCCTTTAATCTAGTGTTGTGACCTGGAAGTCGTTAATGTATTTCGGTTTCTGAATTTTTATTGATGTTTCCCATTCTCGTTCTAACTTCTAGCTTAGAGCCATCCATGTAGTAGTAGATTTCCTCTAATGTTTTCGACTACGACTCTATCTGAGATCAATGTTTCGTAGCTTCCGACAATTTCTGTCTTTGGTATTCGATAGGGTACGTCAGATGTTTGTGTATAACAATCAAATATGTGTAGTATACATGGATGAAGTGATCTATATCCGCTTTTGGTTAATTAACCTAGAGATTAGTGTCATAGTATGAATTTGACCCCATTTTTGGAAAATGTTCTATAAAGTTTTGTACTTTAATTAGTTCTAGTCCGTAACCAGACCCATACCAGATCCTTGAATAAAAACCTAGTAAAACAGAAAAATTATATGGTATTTATTTTTGTCGCAAAGTGTATTCTATGAATCAATCAATTCACTAATCTTGGAATATTTTATTAATGAGTCTACATATTATTCTATTGATTTCTTAGGGACTAGTTTATTAATTGAAACATTAATTTTGAAAAGGTTACGGGTTCATCTAGAATATTAGTCTATTAACTGATCTTATAATATTCACTATTCTATGAACTAGTCTACTCCCTAGACCAACCCCCTAAAAATATGGTAATAACTTGTTCTTATCTACAAATTTACTTTTCAATGATCACTGCATAGCGTCTATATAACTTAAAAGTAGTCTAGTAATGACTTACTTATCTCCTACTTTAACTCCCTATTTGTAAGCGAGTGTGGTAAGCACTTGCCTCCAGTGTCATCACCGTTTTTTAAAATAAACACTTAAAATATGATAGCATTTCAACCACTTACTTGGTAATTGCAGTTTTTGTTGGGAATGTAATAAAAAGGTGTTTAAAGACGTTGCGTATTGAGGTATTTTTCGTTGTCAAAAATTACTGAATTTTCTATACCTTATTTGTAGTCATTCAAAATCAATTTCAAACCAAAGAGCAGTGTCAAAATTTTTTAGGCTTCATAATGGGTTTCAGCGAACAACGAAAATGGTTTTATGACCAAAACAATACAAACCACATTTCTTAAATAATTGAAAAGTAAATATTCAACCAAATTGTTTATAACTAAATAATTTTAATTTTATTATTTCTTTATTTAACTAAATATTTATGTATATTACAGGTGAATACAAACATACATACATAAATACACAATTAGTATTTGCAGATAAGTGAAGCATTTTGTGTTCATAAGTAATTGAAAGTTACAAACCAGATTATTTCCACACATATTTTTAAAAAAATTACTTTTTTTCTTTATCTACAATATAAGAGGGAAATAAATGTGCAATACAACAATATTTTACAAACATACATGTATAGATAGATAGATACTCTTGTTGCAGTTACTCTCATACAAGTAAAGTAATTTGTGGCATACGGGAGATGATGAAACGGAATAAAATTAGGACTCTCGTATACTTGCAACACCAAAACTTATTACAAATCACAGTCTTTGTTGGTTTATTTATTTTTTTGAAAGAAAACTTTTCATTTCACTTGGTTTTTGATTTATTGTTAATTTATCATTTGTGTTGTTTGTGTTAAGTTTAAATAATAATTGTTTAAGTTAAGTTTTGTTTAATTAAATTTACATAATAAATGACAAGGGATTGTTAGATGAAATGAATTTTCAACAAGTTATGAAAACAAAAGGTAATCAGTAGGATTTAACAATAGTTGTGGGTGTAAAAGGTTTATCAAAATGTTTAGGGGTTTTCTAAAGGACCCACATATTGACCGTTTTGATTAGCCTGACGTTGATTCTCTAATCTCTTGGCAAATTCTGGATCACTTTTGGCTCTTTGTTCCAAGCGCTCCTGTTGCAATTTGATGCCTGCATAGATTTGATCTAAACCCTTTTGAATTTCATCGGGTATAGCTGGAGGTGTGGGTATATGATCGCCTGTGGCCCGGAAACCATGTTCATCGGCTGTATATTGAACATTAATGGTTTCACCTTCTGGTGATTGATAAGAATATTGACCATGTTGTACTAGCACTCCATTTGGATTGACTTCAGAGAAATCCTTTAGAAATCCGGTCTCTTCGTGTATGATATTGTTGCCCGTCTCGTATTCAGTCTTGTAGCTGCCATCTTCACTCTGTTCTTTGTTGTATTTTAAAATGGGTATCCAAGTGGAAGTTTCTCGTCTCAATTGATGATCGGCCTTTTCGTCATTTGGAATAATGTTGACATTATTGGAACGATGTTGTGGTTGTGGCTGAGGTTTTGCCGTACCGGTTACGAGTATCGTACAAACACTTACAGTAAACAACTACGTAAAGGATTTAATGAAAAAAAAAAAAAACAAATTTTATTAAATTAGAAAAAAACCCGTTATTTACACTTTCAGTTTTTAGTTTAAATTATTTTCATTTTACTTACAAACACTTTCATTTTATTTCTTTATTTATATTTTCTTTTTTTTATACTTTATTTAAATTATCTTTTCCTTTTAGGATTTTTATTTCTTTTTTCTTTTAAAATACACAAATTTATTTATCAAATCCAATAGTATCCAATATTCACTTGATGTATTCGCGTTTAAGCGGTTTTTGGCGGAGTGAAAGCAAAATTTGAAAAAAGACTGTTCAACAACAAGCCCTATTTAAGCTATTTATACTGTTATGACTGCGCCTCCTTTAAGCCATCCAATAAACGAACAACTAATGTGAGCCAACAAGCCAAGCAGCCATCATCTAGTCAGTCTCGTCACACAGTCACAAACTCACAGATACAAGATGCCTCATAGTGCCCACCATACACATACTTATACATTCATAGATACTGGAGTGGCTGAAGCCACTACCACAAACATGTGTGGTTAGATTGTTTATTTTAAGGTGACCATCAGATATTTTTCCATGAGACTTTGAAAGGTATTTTTCTTAATATTCAAATTAATGCTAGTTTTACAAATATTAATTTTGTTATATCGGTGAGAAATATCTAGGAAATATATTCCATAATGATTTAGGTGATATAACTATATGTAGTATAAGCGATATTCTGGGTTTTGTCAGGGGAGTGGATTGGTTATTTAAGCGTCGGACCGCGTAGAATTCCCTGCCATTAATTTCACACTTATCTCTCCGACTATTCTATATTCTTTCTGTTTATTTTTGTTTCATCTTAAAGGGAACCACAATGGATCGTTAAAGGTCTCCGAGTCTTTTTGGTATACAACTCATTTAGACTAAACAAAAATATATATTCGATTTTGAAATTCCAATATACTTAATGGAAATCACATCGTGTTCATTAGACATCAAAGATTTTCGGTTAGATGTTAGATTTCTTAATGAAACTCGATCCACACTGGTGATGATCAAATGTATCCTCGGCCTTTTCATGGAATGATTTGACATGGGATCGAAACGGAGCACCAGATAATCTCGTACTACTGGTGGACAGTTGCCCGCAGTACTTGTCCTGGCTGGTCAGTTGGTTGAGGTTCCATCGGCATCCAAGTAGTGGCTATGCCTTAAACCCACATTCGTGGGGAGTGAATGTTGGTTTAAGGATTGATATATCATATGCTATATATATCCGTATTCTCCCTCCGGTGCTGTTGCCATCTCAACAGATTTCACTGGGTGATGTGACAGAGCAACTTATGCTGGATTTCTGAACCCGTTGTGTATCTCTTATTTTTCGCGTAGTAGGGCGCCAGTATAGGTTGGAGAATTTTGAGGTTGACACTTGATAGTTGCCTGCCATTCCGTAGATCGTTCTAAGAATGGAACTGATATAAGTTGGTGAACGATCGGGAAAGACTCCTCTGCCCGACAGGAGACTAGTGCTGATTTAGTAGACCTTTTACTTCAAGGAAGTTTTCGATGCTGTTGTTTAATGCTACGCGACTTATGGTTGAGGCCCACCACTCAACTTGTCGGGGCAATTATTGGGTTCGAATTGACTTAGGAAATTTCTACATCCTTTGTCACATTATTTCGAAATACAGAGGGAACCTGATTTATTGGCTAGGTATTTCGAACTACCAAATACGTCTCTAGGTGCTGTTGCCAACATGGCCATCTCAGTTGAGTGATTGCGCGGGCTTTAAGAGGTTATGGAATGTACTGAAATGCGTCATTAGTTGATGGGGATTCATGACATCGAAAGGGTGGTCACCTTCCGGTTTACCGGATTGTCTTTTACTTGTTGGGGTTTGCATTGGGATTGATCCCTACAGCAACAGATTAGATAGCTCGAGTACTTCAGCAAAGTGCTTGTTCATGGACCGGCACAGCCATTTACAAAAACTTCCACTTGAGTTCTTCATAGAAGGATTCAGGGGCGTTCTCAAATCTACCCAGTGGATGAAAAAGACTACTGGCCTCTTGCTGTCCAATAGTTTGCCGTAATGATAGTCTTAATAACACATGACTTAATAGCAGCTTAAGTGTCAATATAGATTTGTATATTCTTGATAAAATGCGAGCTAATTTATTGGTCTATATTTCATCATGTTGAACACTATATTGCTCCTAAGGTTTAAAAGATACTTCGTGCCTATGTCCAATAAAAAAGTCATCGTCCACTGTATTCTTCATTTTAAAGTCATCATAATAGATTTTCTACTGAATAGAAATCTATCAATTAACGATCCTGTCCAATAATAATTCAAGGTAGAATGAAACAACGGAAATTGTGGATGGGTCGCTTAATAATTTGGGGCTTGGTTTAACTGCAGACAACAGCGATATACACACACAAAATGTGCTACGGTACCAATTGATCTGAAAATATCAAAAGAAACTTACAACAATTCTAATTACCAAAGCAACATGATTACAAGGATATGATAGGCTGGATCTATATAATGTGATTAAATTGTTGTTAAGTATCTTGACAATACGATGGCGGTTAATCGATCTAAGAATAAGTAGTTCCTTGCTGATTGTTGCAGGTATAAATATACATATGTAAAGTCTTGTAATACAATTAGCTCTTGTTTTACTAATAACTTAATCTAAATAAAAATAGATTACTTTATTCGAAAGTCTTGGTCTCCTTATTCAGTTTTTAGCAATTTTTTTGGCAATTCTGAAGGTGATATTTATCTGGCAACCTTAATTAATCATTGATCATTAATTTTGGTGGATTTTCACGAGAGCTATTTGTGTGATTGTCTGCATTTATTTGTTGCCGGTATATGTATACTCTATTCCATAATGCAGACTCAGCCATCAAGTTTTCATCTATCTTTTTGCAGTGATTTGGTAATTGTTGTGTATTTACAATCATGTATTTAAATATTTATACACTTAGAAAAACTAGAAGTTAGCTACAAAAGAAATGTGAATTAAAAAATTTTATTACATCATGTGTATATCTACTACCAGTGTTATATTTACGATGCTTATATCAAGTGTACATAAAACCTTAAGTTTACTGATATTAGTGGAAATTAAGAGGAAATTATATTCTCTGTGTACGAGTACTCTTTGCTACAGACACAGATATATTTTGCTTTTGCAGATCTAGCGATATTTATTTAAGAGCAAAACAACAATTGCTCTCTTTTAAGGCAGTGTCACACAAAGTATTGACATTAAATTAGTAATTACCCTGCACAAACATGGTAATGGCTTGTACTTACTCAATAACTTACTTTTCAATGACTACTATATATCGTCTGATGCATAATAAGCGAGATATTCCCTAAAAACAGATTTTTGTAACTTTTGATCTCTAATATTTCGCTTAGCGCACACGATATTTTTGGTGACTTTAAATCCCTTACTAACCATGCAAAGGATTAGCTAGGTTCCAATTTTCATTTAGCTATCTAAAGCAGCAAAACCCTTATTTTCCTGGGCTAGAAGTTCATTCTTACGATTACTTATACTTACTACATAATTTTAAATTCGATATTACGAATGAATAACGCAAACCTTACAGTATTTTGGCATATCACCTTATTTTTTCTCTTCTTAATATCATTGAATAACATTAGTTTTGCTACGAAAACTATCTCTAACCAATATTTATTTGTTCATAACTTTATTCTATGAAAAATCTCTAAATGTCGCGCATCATTGTAAATTATGCCGTTATTTAGTTGGTAAATGGAATAATGACAAAATCAAAAATTATTAAAACTCAAAACTGGTTTTAGATTTTTGTGTATAGTATTGAAGCAAAAATTACATTCATATCTACAAATGTTCGCGTAAGTATTTACATATGTATGTACATTAGGAAGGTTCAGAGAGTAGAATGAACCAAGAGTCTTATAGGGGCATGGTTCAACAACAGGCCCCGATTACTAAAGAATTTGCAGGAGTTACAAACTTTTTAGAGTGTCTCTGAAAGATTTCTGAAAAGGGACAATGGACAATTGAAGACTCATTATTACTAAATTTGTGTTACTGAACATATTTAGTTAGAATTTCATGTCAGATTTCATTGATATTAAATTCCATTTCTGAAAGGGGATATGTGTCAATATTCGAAAAGGTATTTAACATTTTCAAAAGGTTTTATCCTTGGCTCCAAAATGACTTAAACATGAAAGGGCGTCTCACATGGCTTATAAGTTTGAAACAATGATTCTAGAAATGAAAAAAAAAAACACCCTAATATTTGCAGTAAATACTCAATATAAATTACAAGTAAATGGCAAATGCTTAATAAGTATAAGCAAAAAATAGTACAAATTATTTACATATTTTTACAGTAAAGTCTAGTTGAAATGATCAGATTTTGTTGTAAAGAATATATTGTAGGTACGAAAACAGATTCCTTATAGGATCCTCATAAATTTAATTTTTAAGAAAAAATATTCATGATAAGTTTTTTTTATACCCTACACCACTTTAGTGGGGAGAGTATATTGGGTTTGTGCTGATTTTTGTAATACACAGAAATATTCGTCCTTTACCCACCTTAAAGTATACCAATCGGCTTTGAATCATTTTCTGAGTCGATTAAGTCCCCATACAAGAGAACCCCCCGAAAAAGTCCTTTGAGTTCATAATTATGTTAAATATACCTGTATCTCGATAAAAAGCGGCACAACTAAGAGGTCCGATCTTTGTGAAACTTGGTCATATTTCATAAAGATCGGGCCTTATTTGACTCTAGCTCCCATACAAAGTCCCCTTCATAAAATGAACTTGAATGTCCAAAATTCACTTATTAATACTAACATCGCGATGAAATTGAGCAAAAATATAAAAATAAATCTATTCACAAAATTATCGGGATTGGTCCATATTTACCCCTAGTCCCCATATAAACTCTCTTTCAGGAAATTGGTTTTTCGCCGATAAATTGTTAAAATGTATCGGAAACAAAGTTATATTGAAAATAAAAACTTTATTATGAAAACTAAATCACATTTAATATTCATAGCTGGTGTAGAATATCATATGGTCGATCACGCCCGACTATACTTTCTTACATGTTAATTTAAAGGATAAATATTGCCTACAATATAAAACTAGTTTGTAAGATAAATTTTTCACTGGGGAAAGTAAATCAATTTTAATTACTTGTACAAATATTTTTATATCTGTAATAAATTTCAGCATAAACATTTTTAACCTAAAATTTTTCGTTTTGTTATTGAAATTTCTTGTTTTAAAATTTTTTCTACTTAAGAAAGGCGTAATCAATTACATATTAGTCGATTACGTC